ACGCTACGACTAAAGAACCACCGTCAGGTATTCGTGGATATCTTTATCTGTGTGTGACGTATCACGCTCACTTCAGCCAATCACAGGCAACCATTTTTTCTAAGCAGAGCTGATGACGTCATTAATCGTAAACAGAGCAAATAAGTTCTTGTTGTCATCATGCACACTTTCAGCCAATCAGGCATAGCATAGCTTATGACGTCATTAATCATTAACGGACGAAACGAGTTGTTGTCATCATGCACACTTTCAGCCAATCAGGCATAGCATAGCTTATGACGTCATTAATCATTAACGGACGAAACGAGTTGTTGTCATCATGCACACTTTCAGCCAATCAGGCATAGCATAGCTTATGACGTCATTAATCATTAACGGACGAAACGAGTTGTTGTCATCATGCACACTTTCAGCCAATCAGGCATAGCATAGCTTATGACGTCATTAATCATTAACGGACGAAACGAGTTGTTGTCATCATGCACACTTTCAGCCAATCACGATCACATATTCGCTAATCTCAAGACAGCAAGTAACGCTTGTCTCTTTTAACTGAAGTACCATTGCCACTAACGATTTCTGCCTTTCCGCATTCTTTTAAGCCAATCACAAGGCATCTGACGAAGATTATAATCAATTTGAAGAATGCGTTATCATTAATCATTAATGTAAAAATTCTCAACTCAATGTGTTATGTAGCACGCTCTCCGGCCAATCACAGAACCTTTTCTTTCATATTAACAATGCGTTGATTTAGTTATTAATAACAATAACAATAATCATGACAATGAATAATCAAGATTTTTCAAAAACATCAAAACTACTAATTCAATAAGCCTTTTCATAGTTTAAGAATCGATTCCACTGCGCATGCGATTTTATCCCGAATTTCTCACCTTCTTTTGTCTGAACCTTTTGTTCTTATTAAACAAAAGAAGGTGAGCAATTCGGGATAAAATCGCATGCGCAGTGGAATCGATTCTTAAACTATGAAAAAGCTTTTTCTAATGCAATTATGAATCAAAAGAAGTTCCAAACATTGAAGTAACTCCTTTTGAGGTACATGTGCTATTTGCTTTGACACTGTGGTGATCACATGCCTTAAGCCATTTATCTATAACATATACTCAGTCGCCCTGAAATAAAATTTGGGCTGATAAATGTCAGGGCACGGCTAATTTACAGATAGAAGCCTGAAACAACCCCTGGACTAAGCAAAGTCAGGGCACGGATAACTCGCTGATCGAATGGGAATTTTTAATGTCAGTCAGGGGGGGAAAACGAAGAGTCCTGAGACCAGGAATCAAACCTGAGACCCTCGAGGTGAGAGATGAGTGCGCTACTACTACACCACTCCTTTTCACTGATGCTTTATCGTTCTCTTCTTACAAAGCTGCTATTTCCATCATTTGCTGGGAAGAAATGATATCAAGGGGAACTGGCCTGACAAGGGGGCCCTAGATCCATATCTCTTTTAACTGTTGTTATTTATCAATGGAGACGGTTTTCTTTGTTATTCACGAGGCTTTTGTTATAACCCTTTCCGTAAACAATAGACAAACTTAAGGCCCCGTCCACACGTATCCGGAAATTTTTGTATCCGAAAATTTTTTTTGCGGATACGGGTTGCGTCCACACGTGTCCGGAGATTTTTGTATCCGTATCCGGAAATTTTCGAAAACGGTCTCCAGAGTGAAAATTTTCGAATACGCTCCGAATACGGATACGTGTGGACGGTCGTATCCACAAATTTTCGAATACGATGACGTAAACACGATTTTGAGCATGCTCAAGAAGAAAAACTATCCGTCAAATGGACTAGGCACTAGCGTGCATCAGGGCGGATCATGAAATTTCCGGATACGTGTGGACAGTGAAAACGATTCGAAAACGATTCGAATACGCTGCGTGTGGACGCGAACATTTTCGTATCCGCAAAAAAAATTCGCGGATACAAAAATTTGCGGATACGTGTGGACGGGGCCTAAAGCTCGGGGAGGGAATTGATATTCAGCAGGGAAGAGCGCCGGGGACTTATGAATTGCACTGAATTGATCATTATAAATGCGAGGTCAATATATAGTTTATAACCCGGTTAATAACCAAGTCAAATATATAATTATTTGATAGAAAACCTTCTCAATTGATAATTAAAATACTTAATTACCTCGAACGTCGGCAATAAGCCTATACATCCCTCAGGACTGCGGCCCTTGGGACGTATATGGCTTATTTCCTACGTTCTCGGTAATAACCTCTTACTTCTTTAATTTACCATTGTTTCTTTCTTGTTGTAGATGGTAACGGCTCTGGAGGAAATTGTGAGTATTGTTGATGTGATACTTCATTTTTTACTCTTAGACTATCAGTCCGTCCGTCTTTTTATCCAATCTTTCATTCATCCAATCATCCGTTCATCATTACATCCTCCAACCCTGCTGCCCAACTAACCAACCATCCATCCATCCATCCATCCATCCATCCATCCATCCATCCATCCATCCATCCATCCATCCAT